GAGAGACATCCAACACATACACGACAGTGTCAGTGTACTCACCTCCACATAGGACTCAGGCACCAGACCCTGGTCCCCTTGGTCATTCTTTGCTTCCCACCAGCCATCGCCAATGTCCTGTTAAAAAATAATTAAATAAATAAATAAATAAATAAATAAATAAATAAATGAACACCATTTGTATAACGCATATTCCTGCTCAGGGAAAAGTTTGGGGCTTGTACGCCGATCCAGGGGGAGAAAGGCAATGATGTTGAAGATGATGAAATTCCTGCTCAACAACAAGCCCAATGTGCTTTACAATCTATATCATCTACACCAAAATATACTATACCATACCATACCAACTAACAATGCTGATAGGGGCGTTTAATCCATACATTTGCTACAACATCCCAGCCATAAGGCCAAGTCACTCGTAAAAATGTTCTCAAAACCGAACAATTGAACTCAAGTCTCCTGCATGCAACAGCAAAGCGCGTAACCGCTACATCACAGACGCCAGTTTCAGTTCCCCTTGTAAACTTTGAAGTCAAGTTATATGGTACAAGCAAAAAGCAAATATATAATAGGAAACGTACGGCAAAAGTAATTAGTGAAGTAAAGTTGAACTTGTGGGTGGTTGGCGGGGGCTCTGGTGTGGTTTGCTCCTTCTTTCCTATCGAACATCTATAATCCTTATCTCCCCTTCTTCTTTTTTATGTTTATTACTCTCTTGTAACACCTCTAATCCTCTGGCGATCATAATATGACCGTATGCAGTTGCGAGCGCCGTAAAACCTCTACCAAAACTAAAAGTTGAACTTCGATAATGGTGACCTGTCCAAGATCACTCTCCACTTCCCCCCTTGCACTTTTTTCCAAACATAATGACACCGTCCAAGGCGTCCACCTGTCTTAGGCAACCACTTCACTCTTTGACAATTTTGACGGCATATTCTGAACAAATGGCAGCTGGTGTGTTCTCTCTCTCTCTCTCTCTCTTTCTCTCTCTATCTCTCTCCCCCTCTCTCTCTCTCTCTGTCTCTCTCTCCCCTTCCCTTCATTCTTCTCCCCCCCTCTCTCTCTATCTCTCTCTCTCTCCATTCTTCTTCTCCCCTCTTTCTATCCCTCCCGTTCTCTCTCTCCCTTTCTCCTTCCCTCCATTCTTCTCTCTCTGCCTCTGTCTCTCTCTTTTTCTTCCCCTCTCTAAACAGGTCTGACATGTCCCATTCATCTCTCTCCCTCCCCTCTTCTCCATCACCTCCTCCCCCTCACCCCACTTCTCTCTCTCTTTCTCTCTCTCTCTCTC